GGGGGGGTGCAGTTGCCAACCATTCAGAGAATCCTAAGTGCTGAAAGTGTTTCCAGTTTGGACAAGGTCTTGAAAACACCTCCCAGAACAGCCCCCTGGTTGCAACACCTACAGTGCCTACAGCGCAAAGTCTTGCCAACTTTTAAGCTGTCGATCGGTGAAAGGCATGTCGGATGTCCTCGTATTCTTCCCGAATGTGTTGAAGCACTTGCGGCCACAAGCCTTTCGGGAAAGGATATGAATAAAAGCACTTACGCTGGCCGCTGTCGGCAGTCTGCCAAAACTAGCTGCATCTCAAAACAAGCTGACCACAGCGATTGCCAGAGCGTATCAGATGAGGTTGCAAAGAACAATGGGCATGGTGTGGGCAACCACCCCACTTAAATGATTTCTGACGCTCCGAGAAGAAAGGCACTGACGCATTCAAAATTTGTTGCTTCTCTGATTCCTGGGTTTCCCTCATCGGTTTTCAATGTATGCTCAATGGAAGACCTCGGTCTTGGGTTTCCCTCATCGGTTTTCAATGTATGCTCAGTGTAAGACCGACCAACCTAAAGCGTTTGGCGACGACGTGTTCGGACAGTGCTCAAATGTCAAGTGTACAAGCGACCATAATTTCAAGTGCACAAGCGGCCCAAATTTCAAGTGTACAAGCGACAGCTCGCCCATCTAAACCTGCGAATTGTTCGGGAAAATCGACAGTGGAGGTTCCTTGCCGGCCGGGCCAACTATTCAAAGATTGCCCTCTCATCAGCAACACCAACACAGTCGCGCCCTCAGTCTTCGTGAAAGCGGGACCTCTGTGAGCTCCTCGACCGTGGCAAGATCTGCCTGACCGATTGAGGCGAAAAGCAGAATGTTTGACCTCGATTGTGCAGCGTCCGAAACCCAGAAGATACAGTCACCCAAAGGACGATGAGGATGAGGACAAGGCCAAGTTACAACTTTGGCACAACCACTGGTGATCGGAGTCTCAGGTGGTCTCATCCTGGTCCCCTCAACAGAAAGTCCATGTCATGCATGCAACAACTTTGTGAAGTACAGGTCTTCCAGCAACCGAGCTAAGTTGGATCACAGTGACAGGTATTTTGATGCGAAACCTAACCTACATTAGGCTGTATGTCAATGTGGTTGACCGGTGACTCAGCAACTTCCATTCTGCAAACCTGCAGGTCTTCCAGAACGTCTTCTTCCTTCAAGATCTCCTGCGCAAAACAAATCAGGTCCATCTCAGCACATTTTGCTGGAGCCTTGGTTTCGGTCGACGTCTGATTCGGTAACCAAACGGTCTGATTCGGTAACTATGATTCGATAACCAAAACCAGGAAACCAAAACCAAAAACATTTCCAAAAGAAGACACTGATGACCCGGGTAGTAGTATAGTAGTAGTAGTAGTAGTAGTAGTAGTAGTAG